GTTATGTCCTCTTGTTCTTTTACAGTCTATAACATTAATGTATGTCATCATGCTAGTTTTAGTTGATTTTTTTTAAATAGCTCATGCTTTTCCTGCTTCTAAATGCTGTTCTACCACATTTCAGTTGTCCCTCAATTAATCGGTGTCACATCTTGGATCAGCAGCTTAAGTTTCTTTCCCTCATCTGGTGCAGCAATCGTGGGCCTTCTGGTGGACCCCAGAAAGGAGTAGAAATTACTTTCTGCCATTCTTTGCATAACTTCAGACCTTCTTTTTGCAGCTTTTCTGATTGTTTTCTCCGTCTTCAGAAGCTATGGAAACTGGCTACAGCAAGAGACAGGATGTTAGGGGGGAGGCTGGATTCTCTAGAGTTACTGAGAAACATTGCAGGCGTCTGTTTAATATCTAACTCATGTGCAGGTTTAGACCAACTACTAGAGTTGAGTCAGGAAGGAATTTCTCTTCTGGTTTGGACTGGCAGAGTTCTGCATTCGTAGGAACATCAAAGCATTCTCATTTACCAAACTCTTTCCTGTTTTAGATTATGATCTTTCCTCCTTTGACATACTGTAAGTTGGATCTGAGGTTGGGATGCCACTGGGTAATACTTCCCTGTGAACTAAGTGTCTGGTACACGGGTTCCCTGGGACTGCAGGGGAAGCACTTGATAACTCGAGTGGTCCTTTCCTGTCCTGTGCTCCTTTTGTGACCAGGCTCTTTGAGTTAATACCCAAGTTTTTCTGTCTTGCCAATTATACTCAATTTATAAAAATTTCCTGATGGGTTCGCCCACTGCCAATGCTTTCTCCCTGCTGCTCATCCTCCAACCTTCTTAATGCTTCTTTAGGAATTGCCTTATGCCTATTCCACGTTCCTCCTCCTGTCACTAAAACAAGCAAGGCAGATTGCAAGGAATGTTGATTTAAGGAATCAGTGAATGGGCACATTTGCTGTGATTCCTACTCACAGTTCCTGCTACATCCATATATTTTTGTCAAGTCTCTCCAATAAGCATTCTGCTGGCGGGCAGACACTCCCCAAATTCTGCTGTGCCTTTGGCCTCTTCTCCAGCACCAGAAAGACTTCTATCAAATATTACTATGAGCATCCATTTCTTTCTTCTCCAGTCTCCTTGAATTTAGGTTCATTCAAGTGAAGTTATTTGCATAGGAACAATTCTAGGTAACTCTGTACTTGAAGAAGTCTTTCAAAACTAGAATTATTCTGAAAACCAAGTTACACAGATCTAATCCTACAGCAGTTCCTCAGTCCTTATTTGGCTAAACATGGTCTTCAAGTGTTCATGGCAATACTTAAACATTTAAAGAAATGTGATGTGGACTGAGAGAAACAAACTAAGGATATTATTTTTGAAATGTACAATTATACACTGAGTGTAAAATCTCAGGGTTGTTAGCTACCTTCTTCCGGGCTGGAGGTGGAGAGGATAAACTTCAGTTGCGATAGCTTGGAAGAGGCTATGTTTTTAAAGTGTCATTATGCTGTTATTTGTTTAGTAGGTGAACCTGCAGCAAGCAAAGAGATAGCACGAGGGGTAAGACTGATGTGTTCCCAAAGCTTCCTGCAGTATCTGTCGAGGCAGGGTGCTAGCCAGAAAGTTACTGGCATTTCAGGGCATTTCCCAAGGGCAGGAAAATGACTGGCAGAGGAGAGGTATTACCTTTGCCGTATGTTGCCCAGCATACAGACATCTGAGTTCAGCTATTCTCTGCAGCCTGGACCAGCGTAATGCACCACAGGATAAAAGCTCTATTAAAGTTTGGAATTTTTCTTAATTGTACCAAGAATATAAATCTTCAGGCTCCCCCTTTACCCCAAATCCAGCATTTTGGCCAGGAAGCAAGCTATGGTATGTCAGCCCCTGGTGACCCTCATATTGTATCTTGCCTCTCAGTCTTAAGACAAATCTCACCACAGAGGGGAGATTAGAATAGCAAATTATATTTGGAGAAGAGATGAGAATGAAGAGTTACAGCTTTGAAATATTTTCTCCACTGCACTTCATGTGGCTTAAGCATCTCTTTTTCCCTCCCTCCTCTGATCACTTCCTTCCCTGCAGCATTTGCTGCAGGTCTCTGTGAGACTCTTGATCTGCAGCCACTGCTCCCATTCCCGCCACGTACTCTGCTCCCAGTCTGATACCTTCCTCCTCTTCCCTGACACCTAATGAAAAGGATGAGGCTTTGAGGTGCACAAGTGCCAAAGCAGACAAAAGGGAGAGGTCTGCCCTGACCCAACCCTGCCCTCCCACCATCGTTCTGCATAAAAGCAAAAGGCCCGAGCTGCCAGCTAACCCAGTACAGACACAGGAATCTCAGCAGGACATGTAACCCAACTTCATTCATTGTACAGTTGAATAAAAACCCATCAATTCTGAATTAAAATCTTCCAGACCACTGGTCCAGAGAAGGGCATGCCAACTGGTGCAGATTTGATGGCTTTTGTCCAAAACGCAGATTCCAATTTGCTCGTCGGAGAGGTGTGAGGAAGTTTCCCAGAGGAATACTTGTCCTGCTGCAGTGCAGCAATAAAACTTCTAAAATTTCTGTAGTTTCATTCTCAGCCAGGGCTGCATCACCAATATTTAATTCAGAATGCTAAAGTCACTTTTTCCAATGATCCCAATGAAATATGGCCTGTTCTGGGCACTGCTGTCCTCTCTTTCCCATATACTTCTCCCAGCTATAGGTAATCAGGCCAAGTCAGAACAAGGATGAGTAACAACAGGCTCTTCCAAATAGCTTTTTCTTAGAAGATCAAGGCTATGAAGTCAGGCCAATGTCACCCACAGTCCTATGCACAGAGTCCCAGCAAAAAAGAAAGCAAGAGGGTTGGAACCAGAAGGACCCTTATCCTGGCTCAGAGTCGTGGCATCGATGGCTTGGCTGGACAGGTTAGAATCGAGGAGCTCCATAATCATCTGGCATCCTCTCAATATTGTACCTAAGAAAGAAAGAGGCAAAACCCATGAAGACAACCTATTCCACATTGCTCCTCTCCCCATGCAGCAACAGCCTTACAGGCAAGACTGAAGAGCAAGAAGCTTTGTTGCATTTCTATCTGCAGCTCAGAAGAAAAATACGACTTCTGCAAGTGAAAAGCCTTGGTAAGGTTGCTGTTATCCTTCACCTCAAACTCGGAAATCAGGCATCTCAAAAACTCACCATCCATCTCCAGAGAAGGAAAAAAATGGTGGTTTTGTAAGATCTGACTTAGGATTTAAGAACAGACCACCACAAAGAATAAAATTTTGGCCATTCAACTTATGACTGATGGCCACAGTGAATAAGGGGCAAAGAAGTTTTGAGAGAAAAATCTTCTGAGCCACATTCTAATTACAGGTAAGACTTTACATATTTATAGCAATCAATCTAATTTCTGACATACTGCTCTGTGTATAAGTCTCCACTGCTAGCACAACTGCCTCCTTTCCAGTATCCCTCCCATCCCACCTAAAGACTTTAGTCCTTCTCTCTCCACGCCCTCACTTGTCTCCTTACCACACCACCAAACATATCTACCGTACTGTGAAACAATTTAGCATAGGTTCTATGCAAGAGAAGTCTTCTGGGCTGTACATTATGTAGAAGAAATATTAAAACACTGGATATGACAAACAGAGGTGAGTGAAGTCTTAGTCTAGGCTTTATAAGTGCTTTGGAAAGAACAAGAAATTAATTTAAGTAAATGTTTTTACAGTAGATCACTGGTCCTATTGCATATATATA